AGTCAGCTCGTTTCTGCACTGTGTTTGTGCAGCTGCATAATCATTAACCAATGCTTTCAAATGAGATGATGTTATTATATTTTATAACTACCAGAGTCCACAATGATAAATGTAATCAGAGGATTTTAATCAGGGAAACCATCCGCCTCAGAACACAATGAACAAACCAAAGTGCCACAGTGAAAACCCCAAAACACTAGACATCATTCAGGTTTAAAGAGGAAATCCAGGAATGTAAAAATGTAACCCTTGCAATGAGGCTACCCCCACACTGCAAGGGTTAACTGCTCGTTTTGGTCTAGGGGCGGGGTAAAAGAAAATATACTTACCTGATCTTTGATCCCACCTGGCTGCTAGACTGGTCACTGCAACCTCTTTTCTCCTCGGCTCTGGCGGGATAAGTCCTGCTGACGTCTTCACAACTAATGCAGGTCCATTCACGTGTATTAGACGTGAGGACAACGGCGGAAATTCCACAGCCGGAGAAGAGGAGGGAGAGAGGTGAGCGCTCACTGTCACAGGACTGAGGATCAGCTGAGTGTATCTTCTATATTCTGGCCCCTAGAAAAAAAAAACAAGCAGGTAACCCTTGTAGTGTGGGGATCTTCCCACTGCAAGGGTTAACTTTTTACATTGCTGGAGTTCTTTAAGTGTAATCCGGTCAGCAAAATGATGAGTAAATGCACACTTGTTGTTTGTACCTAAATGGGAAGTTCTGTAAGTGTCCATAGTTTTTCCAATGGATATCTCTCAACATTTTACACCAATGACAACAATTAAAAAAAACATTAGAAAGTATTTTTTTTAAAGTTATGACACCATAACAGAAGCAACTGAATGCACTACCAATCCTTCATTGTCTTTGACTTTGGTTCCAATGATTTGCATTATAATGGGCTCTTACTTCAATAAAACACTTATTTTAGTATCGTTTTATATGTGCTGGGTGATGATTTAATGGTGAGCAGTGCGGCCCTTTAGTACAAGGTTTTTGGGTTAAAGCCCTACCCGGCCTCTAGCTGCATGTATTTGATATATTCATGTAGGTTTGCTCATGGTACCCCAGTTTATGTTAGCATCCTCTTGAATTGGCCTAGCGATTATGTGCTTAGGGAGATTAGACAATAATAAAGCATTTCCAGCGCTCAAAATCCTCCAAGCTATCCTTTATTGCATGAGCATAAAATCCGCACACAATCTCTGACGCGTGGGCTTAGTCATAGCATTTAGTAAAAAGAAATGATCATCTTGTACAAGGTTTGAGTAAAAAAAAAAAGTGAATTTTCCCACAATTGAGAGTCAATTTGAAAAATAATCTTCAAGCCCTGCAGAATGCACATTTCTAGGTTGTAACTTTTAAGATTGGACCTTTGAGGGCCTATTCACACCACTGCAGTGCAATAATCACACAGTTCCATATGCAAGCACTACTTTTTTTTTAGCTGCAATGCAACACAATGCCCAGTATTGTGGTATCGTGTGTTGCAGCGCTGTCAAGCGGGAGGTGTGTTTTGGGTGCCATTCAAATAAATGGCATCTCAATGCACCGCCCGCACTGTAGCACACGTTACATGCATTGTGCGGTAGCGTGAGTCAATTGCATGAGACCATGTGATTTACGCACCGCACTTGTGTGAATGGGCCCTAAATGTGCATGATGAAGCAAAGGATGGAGACCTAAACTTCAGCTGAAGGAAACATCAGTACCAGGATTTTATGTTTAAGAAGATTCTTCAGGAGTATCTGGACTTCACAAAATAGTCCCATTGATGGATTTCCCATATGCTGAAGTCAGCAGCTAAAGCAGCTTGTGTGAATGCTGCCAAAAGAATTGCTTGAAAAAAATCAAAGAGAGATATACAGCAAAATGCAGGTTTACAATTACAGGAGACCAAAACCTGGATCTGTAAGATGGGTCCTGAAACCAATTAACAAGTGCATTTGGGAAAACACCACCAGTGATAAGCAAACATATGTTAGTTTATACTTTCTAGACCACACTATACAAGTATCTGGTGGATCACTATTGACATAAATCCTCAATGCAGCATTTTACCTTCACAGACTAAAATGCCACAGGGCCCTGGTGGAAATTCTAAACAGAGGCCTCTCACTTTGTATACAAGACTTTTCAGTGCCTGGTCCAGTATTGTATCTAGCGGGAAAATCAAAAACGTAGCCAAAAAGTGCTCATTTTGTCTAGGAGACTCAAATAAAGCACATGTATTATGTGCTGCTCCAGGTCAGGTAAAAAAAAGCAGATGTACCTACCTGATCTTCAGTCCCATTGGCTCCCTTTGGGCTGCTAGACTGATCCCTACAGCTTCTTCTCCCCTGGGCTCCATCGGTCTAAGGACTGCTGATGTCATCACCTCTTATTGACCTGCATTAAATGTGAAAATGTCAAGGGACATTCCATAGCCAGGGCAGAAGGGAAAAAAATGAGTGCAGACCGCCATGGGACTGAGGATCAGGTAAGTAGTACAGCTTTATTTGAGCACCCCAGACAAAAGAAGCACTTAGACCTTGCAGCGCGGGGGTAGCCTCACTGCAAGGGTACATTTTTGATTTTCCCAGAGTTCTTTAAAAAAGAAAAAAAAAAAAACACTATAAAATTGGTGCTTATCCATACAATCAGAAACCTCTAAAAGTTATCAAAAAGTATGTATATTTCATGAAAGAGATTCCTAAGGAAAGCAAGGAGAGTATATAACAGTTTTGTTTCTGGCCCATCACTTTATGGGCCTGAGAAGAATTGGACCCAATGTAGTAGCCTACTAATGCGTGGGAGGTTATTCAAAATGTTTATATAATTCAATATTATATCAAATAGGAAATAATGTTGCTACCTGTGTCACCTCAAGCTCCCCAATAAGGACAGATAAATACAAATCTGAAAAACTTCTAGCTCTTCTCCATTCTCCAAAACGAAAAGTTTTGTATGGAGTTCCATTTAAAAATAAATAAGAAACCTATTTTTTCGTAGCCATTTACCAAATTGATTTCCAACCCAACCCCTACTACATCCTTTAATTTTTTTTTCATAGTCACGTACATGAGTGTCATACATGGGTCATATGTCATACCTACATATCATGTATCAGGTACACAATGAAAACCCAACCTTCGTAGATAATGTTACACCACCAACAAAGCTTTATAAAATCGCAGGGGCAGCCCTGCTACCTGTCCTCGTAGCAAATGTATTGATGTCTATAAAGTAATATCAAATGTATTAGTTGTACTGTATGAAAAGTTTTACCATTTACCAGAACTGACAATTCAGCAGAAGAAACATACACAACTGCACCCTGCTGGTGATCAATTCGTTAGTTTATTTGTTTTATTTATTCACCAAATACAATTGTAATGGTAGTAATGTACAATGAGTCATTCTCAGAATGGCACAGCATTGCCTTATTGGATTCAGAAAATGGTGTATTATTACTAAGTCTTAAGTCCATGCACAGGATTCAGGAAGCTTTAATAAATAAATAAAAACAAGAAGAAAAAGAACGAAAGAAATGAAATAAAAAAAAGTACAAAATTAAAAAGACAACTATTACGTCCCTCATAAGAGGCGGTTAACAGCTGTTATCTCACATTCAGAGACTGCAAGGATTTCTGAAACCATCCCTTGGTTGCAAATAGCAATGAAACATTCTTCAACCACAAGGCTCAGTTAGTCTTAAAAAGTGAACTTTCATAGGTCACCAGCAGTTCTAGACAGAGAATGGAGGTGCCACCACCAGAATATGTGACAAGTGCATAACTTTAAAAAGCAACTACACTGCCTTGGCTAAATATCTCTTTGAGTTCCAGGTATAGAGGATATTACACAGTAAACACCCCAGTGTGGTAAAACTTTTTGTAAGCAATTTTGTAACCATAACATACAGTAGTCTACAATGTACATATATCTTGAAGATCTTCAGTTTGAGGTATCTGCAGCAGTCAGGTGTATTAAGAGTTCCTCTGATACAGCTTTGGTGCTTTATCACCACGCTCACACTGTTTTATCAGGTTTAGATTAGTACAGTTAGAATTATAGTGACACTAAACTCAGGAGTTAAATATTAAAAATGTATTTAAGTACCTTAACTATTAACAAAAATGTATCTTATTTGTATTCCACTCGGGTGTACATCCTCAAATCATCTCTGAATTGGTACCGACACTGTCCTTCCTTCCGGAGGGTGGCTACTTTTGTTCCCCATGGTCCCTGTGTGTGTTGTAAAGTAGTCACCGCTCCAAGCTCACTCATGTGATAGATTACAACTTCAATACAGATTAGTTAACTAAACATGAGATTGTAGTCCATCATGGCAGTGAGCTTGGAGTGGTGGCTACCTTATAACACACACAGGGACCATGGAGAAAAAAGTAGCCACCCTCCAAAAGGGAAGGGCAGTGTCAGCACCACATCAGAGATGATTTGATGATCTACAGCCGAGTGATACACAAATAAGATACATTTTTGTTATTAGTTAGGTACTTGAATGTTTTTTAAGATTTAACTGCTGAGTTTAGTGTCACGTTATGTAAGCACACAACTAGCTTGTCTAAAGTGTCAACATGTTTCAGCGAATAGGAAACATATGGTTAAAGGTACATGTTCCCAGTAAGCCATTGTCCTGTTAATTCTTTTTTTTTTTTTAAGAGACTAAATGCATTCACAGGTAACTATTTTTGCTGTTAAAATCAGGGTAAACAGAGTTATACATATAAAATAATTCTAAATGAGATGTTAACTCAAATTGGCCTATAGTCTTCTACACACATAACTGCTGCAGATTCCTTGTAAACAATGCCTTGTTCCATAGATTTCTGGAAATTCCTAAAGCAGGTTTAGGCTACATATGGATTCGAACGTTACTATCCTGGTACATGACCTGTGTGATGTCAAGACCAGCATTTCCAGAATGTTCTTGAAATGTGGTGGAAAGGAATCTTCAGCCCAACAACACTCAATGCAGTAGGCTGTGTCTATAAACTATTTCTACATGTACACAATGTAAAACAAGCACATATATCATATAATATATATATTTATATATAACAAGTTTAGCTGGATATAAAGCATTTTGTATTTAAACATGAACTATATAATACATTAGTAAGGGAGACAGAGCTGACATGGAACAGACATCTTGCAGCAAGCAGCATATTGATGTGAATCTTGTCAGCACATACTGATTGTACCCATGTCACTATCACCTGGGTCAGTTTTCACACATTCGTGGTGGTGGCAGCAGTATGTTACATGAACACCTGATAAGGGCACCCCCCAGTGACTGCCCTAAACTGCCATCCAGCTGGCTGACAATCATTCTGCATCCAGAAGGTGGCTGTGTCTCTGATGTGACATTGCACAGTCACCAGCATATATCAGAATTCAGATTATTAACAAAGAGTTGTTTATAAAAATACAAATGTAAAGGGTTCCTCTTAAAAAGGAGCGTGCTGGGGAGGGGTCCAGGATGAATTCGGAAGCTCATGCAAGAGATGGAGCAAATAAAGTCTTAGTCTTGCTTGGGTTTGGACAGCAAAAGGACGGCCTGTGCCTGCTCTGCGCCCTCCAGCTGCTCTGCTTCCGACCTGCTGGTATCTTGATCATGAGGGGCAAAATGGGGAAGAATGGATGGCTGTCCAGTCTATTATTGTTCTGATGCTGGTTTACTGATGAACTGGAGGGGACATGGTATTAATAATCACAATTCAACCTATATATACCTATATATACACATGACTATATATAAATATATATAGATATATCAACACAGCTGCGCAGGTGGGTTCCCTGTGGGCCCACAAATACGCACACAGCTAAAGATTATTACTTCACTAGAGACACATATTGTCAGAATAAAGTGCATTTCTAACAACCTACAGCCCCTGGGGGTGTACACTGTGAGGCAGGAGGAGGAGGCAGCACCTGGCAAGGATTGGAGTTGATAGGCACAAACTCCATGGTGCTCCAGTCAACAAGCACCTTCTTGGCACACAGACAGGTGCTAAGGACAACAGCAGCCAGTGCATTGTAGGGTTGGCTTTAACATGAGTTGAGACTCATCACTGCCCCCAGAGCCCAGGGTGAGGGACAGTGACAAGGGAAATAGGAAGGTGCTGAAATGGATATCTCCACATTGGAGGTCATTGGCGAGGACTGAGTGGTGTGGGGAGCCAGATGGCACCATCAGGAGACCTGCAGAGGGTCTGGATCAAGGTGGAGGGTGGAGATTTGCCAGCAGCCTCAAAGCCTTTCCTTCTTCTCCATGTCCACAAACATGCACAGCCAAAAGTGCTTACAAATCAGGGAGGAGAGTGAGCGCTGGAGAGCAACCACTTCCACACCTTATACTCCGGAGGGAGACTTGTCCGACACCCCCTTCAGCACCTCGTCTATTCTGTCATCTTCAATAACAACTGAGGAGAGGGAGAGACATTGGGTTTGGGATCAGAAGACTAGAGCACCAAGAGAGGTGAAAGTAGAAGGGAAAGGATAACAAAATGAGGAGGCCAAAGTAAGAAATGAGATGCAAGGAACTGCAAGATGTGGAGGAGGTGAGGCCTAGGAAAGCAAGCAAAACAACATGTGCATTCACTCCCACACTGCAGCTGGCTTTAGTCTAGCAATGCCACACATATATGAACACAATGATGCATACACACGTAAACAGACACATCTCCCTAAACACCACTCCACAGAGAACTTGATTTAGGAGAACTGGGGCAAAGAAACATGAAGCCACTGCAGCAGAAAAATCACAGCTCTTGTTTCATTTGATATCAGATAAAACATGACCGCTTCCTACGGGAAATAGTTCAAGTTGCTCCATGTTTCCTAAATCAGGCTGAAAGATGTTATTTTACAATTAGAAAAAAATGCAGTTTTCGATTTAAGGATTCGCAAATTATCACTAAAACTTTGTAAATAAGATATAGGTCACATGTTTGAATCGTATATCTTTAAAAGCCTTCCCGACGGTGAGAGTAGGTCTGAAGGATCACATAGCTAGGGTGACAAGGCACGTGGCCATTAAGATCAGCAAGGAACTATTGGATTAAATCTACCATAATAATCCCTTTTCAAAGGTAATATAACCAGATTATCTAAATTATATTATCATAAAATAATGTCAACACTGCTACCTTTTCCTCATATTCTGGGATCAAGTGGAAAGTCCACCAGAGCATTAAGACATGTTTAGGTTTAGCTCCACTTTATATATTAGGATCTATTCAAAACACCGTAGTTCATTTTGCTTTAAAATCTAACCTTATGAAAGTGGGCAACAAAACTCTGCCACAAATGCTGCAAAACCTGGATCACCATTGCTTCCAAAAAAAAATCTGTAGATATGGTGAGTGTTAAGGTTGACGTGGTTTTTCATATGTAACTGCAGCATACTAAACTCGAATCACACAGATACAAGTCTAGGGCAAGGCTTCAATATTTGATGAATATTGATAAAAGGCGCAATATTACCATCTAATCCAAACACTATGTTTATGATGAAAAAAATGTTCATCCTACAAAGTGTATGTTATACAGACTGCATAATGTAAGGATATAGCTTCACATTTAATTTGAAAACAAAACATCTATTTAAAATAAAACATCTCACAGGAGCTACTAACAGCACAAATAAACAGATCAATACAAGCATTCGCTCGCTCCACACACATATGCTGCAGCAGTCAGATCAGCACCTTGGACAGCGGCATGCAAGTAGGTGAATATCTCAGCAGGAAGGCTGGAAATCTTTCTGTAGAAGGCTCAACATGTGAATGTACCTGTAGTGCTGGCACTAGGATTGCTCTAGTATGTAGCTCACAGCCAAATACTTCTAGAGCTATGATGAGCTCACAACATGTCCCACCATTGCCAGTGCCAGATACTGATCCACCCTGTGTGACCTGCCTAAAACCATCCAGTCTGCTAATCACATCTGTATGGTGAAACTCTGTGGCAGGTCTATGACATTACTATGCGTCAGAGATAACCAGTGAGTTTCAATAGGGGAATTTACATGCAATTAAATCAAATGGATCTGTCATTCATCTAACAAGTTATCTACATGAATATGTATAGTAAGCTGAAGCCATGCCTCCACATTGGATCTGCCAGTAATTCTACAGACTATCACTATACACACAGAAGATGGCAGTTTATGTCAATCTTTCTGCAGGTTAATGGAAATCTATCCCCAGGGTGAATGGCACCAGGTATCAGACATATCCTCTAGATTCCCAGCACATTCGCCTGAAAAAATATGTCTCCTTAGCCATCTCGTTCTGCTTAATAATTTGGAATATTCTCACTGCATTTATGTGGCTAGCCTGTCTCTATATTTTGTGTGGCTTCATGTTTCGCAGTCTGCACATATGGAGTCTGTAGATATAGGGTGTACTCGCTATCAGGATACATTCTGAATTATGTACACTCTTCCCCATAACACATGTGTAAATGTGTGGAATTATCTCTCTAACTAGCAGGTTGCATCTAAATATAGATTTCCTCTCCTGCAAATGTATCTCCTCTGTCCAGAGAAAAGTAGCAGAGCCTGTCTAATGAATTCACACACTCTACATAATGAAATTACTTACACCCACAGACACCAGTGGACAGACCAGCCTGCTTCATGCAGAGGAAAAGATGAACGGAAAAATAACCACACACACATTTCAATATACAATGCATCACTGTGTTGGGGGGGGGGGGGGGGGTGTGAAAGGGGAATGC